GCCAGCCGCTTCGCCCGCTGCTCGGGTGCCTCCTCCGCGCGCTTGCGCGCCGCGCGGGCTGCCATCTCCGCCAAGCGCTTCGCCCGCTGCTCCTCGTCCTCCTCCGCGCGCTTGCGCTTGGCGCGAGCCGCATCCGCGGCTAGGCGCTTGGCTCGGCGCTCGGGTGACTCCTCGGCGCGCTTCTGTGCGGCCCTGACGGCCTGCTGGGCGAGACGCGCCGCCCGGGGGTCCCGCCAGTCGTCATCACCGTCATCGTCTTCGTCCCCCTCGAGCCCCCGGTGGTGGCGACTCCGCTTTCCGCCAACCCGCCACTCCGGCGGCGGTGCAGTACATTGCGGCGGGTCCCGGGGGGGGTTCCCCCCCAGCAGCGGCCCCGGTGGCCCCGGCAACTCCTCCTGGTGGCGGGTAGTGGGGCGGGGGTTTGGGGTGGGGGTTTGGGGTTGAAGTGACTGGCCTGGAGGCAGCGCAGCAGTGCAAGGGCCAGTGGTGGCAGCGGCCTCGGGTGCATGTGCGAGTGCGTGTGCGTGAAGGGGGACATCGCGCAGTGGAGGTCTCCACAACACGGATAGAGTGTACTGGGTGGGATGCGGTAGAGTTGTAATGTTGTTGTTGGTAATTATAATGGCAGTAGTAGTAGCAGTAGCAGTAGTATTAGTAGTAGTATTAGTAGTATTAGTATTAGTAGTATTAGTAGTATTAGTAGTAGTAGCCATCGCTGGCAACGCCGGCATCCGACACCGCCTTCCCGGCTGCATTGTCACGTCCAGAGCGCCACCTCGGCCGCCCGGCCCTCGTCTGGTCCCAACCTCTCGAGTGCCCCCTGCTCCCTCCCCCCAACCCCCCTCAACCCCCCAACCCCCCAAAACCCGCAGCTCTCTCACGGAGACTGACTCGCCTCTTTGTAGTGCAGGAGGTGCAAGGCCCCCGAGGGCCACGGATGGCCAAAAGAGGCGGCTCCGAAACCATCCGCGGCCACAACGCCCGGGCTTAGCTCACACTCCCCCACCGTCGTGCCGTCGTGTGCAGCATTGGGCCCAAGTAACACATGGGGGGGAGGGTCCCGCTGCATCGTACGAGCAAGTCGTACGAGCAAGGCACCGTCGGCCGCGTCATTTCAAGAAGGTGGGGGGCGCCAACGCGTGCAATAAGAACAAAATGGGGAGAGGGGGAAATTAGAAAGGTTCGCGGGTAAGGCGGGTGTTTGTCCGGTACGGCAGGGCGGACTAACCCCATAGGTGACGGCGGCGGCGGCGACGGCGGCTAGTCCGTCGAACCTCCCTGTGCCGTTCCCTGCTCGCTCCGTCCACGTGGGTTTCACCTCCTCCCCCTCCCCCGTCCCCGCCTCTTCCCCCTCCTGCGACATTTCGCGGTACGGGGGAGCACGTCGGGGGGGAGATACGTCGCTGAATAGGTCGAGGGGATGCGAAAAGTGTTCGAGAGGAGAAATTGCCGGCAGACGGGAAGACGTTGGAAAGTCGAGATGGTGGGTGTTGGCGAGGTATCAGTACTGTTAAGACATCTGCGCGCCGGTGTCGTGGGTGCGCTGTCAAAAGCATCTCTTGGCAAAGAGCTACCGTCGTGTGCAGGGAAGCCGAGCGTAGTGTCATGGGCAGCAGAGCTGCAGAGCCTTTTGATGACCTCCCGCGTACCCGCATCATTACCAATACAACGTCCATGGCCCCCCGGCTTTTACGGACACACCCGCACTTGTGTGCGGAACTTGCAAGTTGTAACTTTTGAACAACGCGCGGACATGGCGGCAGCGGCCACATGGGGCCCCACCCCGCCACCCCCCATATATACACGCACGCACACACACACGTACGTTTGGTACAAATTGTACGGACCTGTAATTGGGAGAAGCACGAACCGGGATGTCCGGACGAGCGTAGGGCAAAGCGAAGGGGTAGTGAGGAGGGCATCAAAACGCGTCAGCACCTGGCAATCACAGCTCCAAACAACGGGCCCGAGGACCATATCGCTCACCAGGTGCCATTGTCCCACCAGCCTCAGATGCGCTTCATCATCAGGTCAAGCGGGCAAACGTAAAGCGACGTCACTTGCAGCCCATTGCCATCGCCGCAGGCACAGCATTCCTGAACAGACCTTTTTTGACTTCATCTTCGCTTGCTCCTTCGGAGACACCCAGAATAGCGCGATAAAGACTTTCCATCCTTGAGCCTCTCCGCGGCTATCCGTTTCAAGTACTGTTAAGCCAGCTTTACCGCCATTCCGCCCCTGCGCACATACTTGCGACGCAGGGGCGAGGTCCACAATGGCAAAACTGGGAGTCGTCTTAAATGTGCCCTTGCAGCCTGTAGTGCCCGAGCTGCTGGGATAGTGACATACAGAACGACAAGGAATACTACAGACTGATGTAGCAAAGGAAAGGACAGACTTCCTAATAATATTAACAGCTAAATGTGCCTAACTTGCGATGCATCGGGCAATTAGTTTTTTCTGCGGCTAATCTTCAGCTCTATATATACCTATCTTTACGTAACCAAAAAACCTCATCAGGCGTAAATATGCGTATCACCATGTATGAACCAAATCATTCTTTCTCTGTTCGGCATCATTTCGGGTGTACGGCAATGTCCGGCGTGTGCCGTACTAACAATTAGTTCTTTAGGAATTTTACTTGAATCCTACCCTGAACTACATTACATTACGTGTGGTGTCATCACATCTTGCTTCATAGTCCCCAACATGGAAGAATCACCGCAAGAACCGCACTCGTCACGTACGAACCTCTGCCGAACTGAGGGGGCACGTAAGGGCCTCTGCCGTACCAACGGGACACCCAATCCTCCACCTTCTCGACCTCCTCCACGCCACGAAAATACACCATCCTCTCAAACCCACAGCTCGGGACCCAACACCGGGCTGATGCCGGTAGTATCACCGGGGCAGGGATCATCCGAAATTTCAAGCTCGTCCAGCTGCCGTACAAGCCATGTACGGCGCCCCACCAGATCCATTCCAGCCCACACCCCCACCGGCACCACCAACACCCGCCAGCCCCACACCTCGAGGCAACGAAGCTCCGACAGAGCCGGGCCTCGCAGTCGCAGCAAGCGGCCACGCCGCCGTGGCAGCGGCGGCGGCGGCGCCGCCGCCGCCAGTGCTCCCCTGGACCTAGGTTCCGGCCGGTCCGGCTCCGAATCCGGATCCAAGCCGATATTGCGGCAGCAGTGCAGCTTCTCATCCAGTGCCTTAACCGCAATGCGGGCTCCAAATCCGGATCCGGTGCTGTCGTACAGCATCAGGGCATCCGGCGGCACCCATGCGACGGCGTCTGCGCCGCCAACGACCGCCTCGTCCACGTCTTCGTTACTGTCGCCCGCATAACCCTCGCCGTCGTCGTTGCTGCCGTACACCGGCGGTGCCGCCGCCGCCGCCGTCAGGGCGCTTGGCGGCAGCGGCTCCACCGATGGGACATCCTGAAGCGTCGACAATATCTGGGGTTGTGTCGTACAGAACACCGTACGGCAGGGGAGGTGATCGTGGTGGACGCGGGCATTAGCGAAAGCGCCAACCAGGGCCCGGCCCGCACTCCAACCCTGGCCAAGTAACGGTCACAACTGCTTCTCCTGCTCCACCTCCTGTGGCAGTCCCTACTAGAGCTCACCAGAATGGAGTACGGCAGAATCCGACACCAGAAATACGGCATACACACCCCACAATCCCACATATCCTCCAACCCCCCCGTTCTTCCCTCCACCCCTACCCCTAACCATTCCCCCCATTCCCCCATTCCCCCGGACATACATGCATACAACGGGGCCGGACATACATACACAAACGTACACACACATACACACACACCACCACCACCTGCGGCACGGTGAGCAGCCCCGTGGCCTCCCACGCCTCCAGTAGCTCCGGCGCCTGCCCCCCCGCCGCCTCAAGCTGCTCCGGAGTGGGCCGCCCTAGCGGTGTTGCCTGCAGGGCCGGCAGCGGGAAGGACTCCAGACACCGCCGCAGCAGCCGCGACAGCCGCATCGCCACGAGACGGGAGCCGCCGTCGTCGCTTTCGCCGCCACCTGCTACTGCCGCCGAGGGTGACGCATCCATGGGGTCCCTAAGCGGCAGTAAACCCGCCGTGTCGAGCTCGTTGCGGTTCACGTCGGCACCAATGAGCTCTGGGACGTCGCCCCTGGCCTTTAGGAGGGTGCACGCCCTGAGAGTGGAGGGATCGGGTGGGGGGAGGGGGATGGTAGGAGGGGGAGGGTAGGAGGGAGGGGGGA